CCATAGTCTGCTTGTGCAGATGCTGTTCCCTCCCTTTCTGGCTAGTTCAGCCCTGGTGTGGGTTCACTGGACCCCCGCCCCCATGCGGATGGAAGGCAGGGCCCAAAGAACACCCGACCTGGGTTTTCCACCTGGAGAGATGGACCTCCTGGCACTGTTGGGACGCCATCCCCCACGCCCTGTTGTGAATCTCTGCTTTCCCGGTTACTACAAAGGAGACCCACACTGCTTCAAACATGCTTTGAAGGCCGGGCTCACCAGCCTGGTAATCAGATTAGCACCCCAGCGGTAAAGAAGTCAGTCGATCCCAGGAAACAACACTTTCACAAGGAAGAGGAGACATCGAGAGATAATTACTGGACCAAATTAAAGTTTTGCATGTAAATTTTCTCCTCCCTGGAAGGAGAGTTTTTCTGAGGGTGGTTCCTTCCAGCTCCTCCAAGGTTGAGGTAGGCAACATGCTCACAGCATAGGGAGTGAGTTACATGGGGATGAGGCATTTCTTTGAGGACTTTGTCCCACTTTCTCTCCTCTGCCACCTCAAAGGAGACCAGCAGACCCCTTGATTGGGGTCTGGGAGGTTGCTGCCCCCAATCGAGGGTCAGCCTGGTGGCTGCTTCCAGGGCCTTGGGTAACAGAGTGGGTCAAGCAGGGGGAGGGCGAAAGACTGTGTTTTTAACTCCAGATCAAAGGATATTGAAGTGGAAGGTGCAAACTAGGTGTGTAGGTGCATTTTTGAGAATAGCAGCATCATAGTTTCCACCGGATACAGCAAGTCCCTAACACATCTCCCTCCCAAATAAAAACGGCCAAGACAGAATAAAGTGCACCTAAGTCACAGTTATCGGGCACCTCGTTCTTTCAGCGAACTATGATTTGTCAAACCCGTGCGCACCGCTGACACTCCCTTGACGGCTTGTGTAGCCTTGACGTTGAGCAGCCGAGGGAAAAATTTGAGAAGAGTCAGGGGCGGGTGCGCGAAACGCCCGCGCTGCCGCAGGCCTGAATCCGCCCCTCTCCTTCGGGCAGCGGAGGTCACAGGCTCCGACTGGCCCGTGTTTTCCGTACAGAAGCGCTGGAGTTGCAGTTCCAGGGGTGGGAGGCCGGGTGCAATTGCTCCGCGGAGCCCTTCCTGCTGGGTCAGCCGCCCTGCTCAGCAGTGCGCCGCAATTTGTCCGACAGCGCGGGTTCCATTCTCTGAATAACCTTCAGCAGGTGCCGGAACTGGTCCTCATCCTAGCTCCTTCCGCGCCCTCGCCAGAGGGATAGACACAGGAACGCTTCACACTGGTGTTTAATCTGTCGTGATGGGTGGCGAGGCATGCGCCCAGGTAGCCAGCCTTGCGCTCACTCACTGGGGTGGGGTTGGTTTTTTCTCCCGGTGCTTTGAAAGGAAGGGCGGCAAGCTAAAGAAGGAGCCAGATCGAAAGGGTCGCTCCCCAGGAGTAGGGGGCTCCCTATTCCGGCCACACCGGGGCGTTCCAGGGGCAGCCCTGGCCAAAGACTGCACCTGGCTGCTCTAGGGCGCCTGCACTCTCGCCTGTCTCAGCGCCCCGGGCGCTGCGGGAGCCGTTTTCTCCACCCGCACCACTTTCTCTGGGGCTGGTAGATGCCAGATGCTGAGCCCTGAACTCGCCTGCGAGCTGGTAGGGCCCCTTCTGCGCGTCCCAGCCATTTATTCCATCCTGCAATTAAACCCGAGGTCAAATATCTCCTTAACGACGCTATCAGGCCAGTGGCTCATTATGGCGTATATTTAGCCATAAAATATGGGTTGTAGTGAGGAGGAGATGAAAATTATTGTGTTCTGGGAATGAATCCTTTTAGCAGAAACCAGAGCTGTTATTTACCACGGAGAGCTAAGTACAGGCTCAGTCTTCTAGGCGACCCCAGCAGGATCAGCCGCTCTTCCAGGCCCTTTCCGGCTGTGCCTGTGCCCCCGCCACAGGCCTGGCACCGGCGCGCTGCCTGTGCGCCACTTAGTGCATCCCAGAAGGAGCCGCTCTGGTCGCGGAGGAAGAACATCTTCATGGAGTCTTAGGGCGCTTATGGATGATGGTCTGTCTCAGTTCCCAAATTCGGATCTCCCTGCAGCCCGCTCCCTAGTCTGTAGTGGGAAAGCCTTTCACAGGATGGTAAGATAGTGTGCTAGCCATGGCTTACTGTGGAACTATCTGGAGCTTGGTAGAGTCAGTACACCTGGCTTCTTGAGAGGCTCTACTTCTGACTGCCATGGGTGGGTTAGTAAACCTCTCTTGACGTCAGTGACCTCATCTGTAAAATGGGGGAAAGGCCATGCCTTCTCCTGAAAGCTTAGGAGAATTAAATCCGACGTTAATCTGAAGCCTGTAGCCCAGTGCAGGGTGCAGAGAAGTTTAGTTCGTGGTGACCAAAGGACAAATCACGAGGAAGGGGATAAAAATAAGTCTTTGGGCTGCAGATATGAATGCATGAATGAAACCACTCATGTAAGGGGCTGTCAGTGATTTCGAGTCCAGGATTGGACAGCCCTAGGTTTAGATGGGGCCCAGATCATCACCAGCGGTGCCCACCAGCTTGGGTAACTTTTTTCCCTTGTGCAGGATCCCCACCTGCCTGCAGGGTTGGACAGTCGTAGCTTTGTGGGCCGGGTGGGGGGCAGACCATCACCCTGGGCAGTACCTGCCCTGGAAATCTGCTCAGAGTTGCCGTGATTTGCTGAGATCATGCTCTCTGGTGATCAGTAGTGCTCACCGCAAGAGGAGTTGCTCACACATGCTCTCATTCCCTGCTGCCTGCCCCACCAACCCCGCCAACATCCTGATGTCCAGGTGGCCCCAGTTGGAACCAGAAGCTTCCAGACACACCATTGATGCTCAGCTTCATCCTGGCAGTGCTGGGGAGATGGGAATTGTGTGGACAGGGACATCCCCAGATTTAGCCTCTCAGGAAGTGGCCGGGTGACCCACAAGCTACAAATATTTGGACAAACCAGATGAGGGAGTCCCCAGTCTAAATGTTTGCCCAAGGCCTCCAAGGGGGCAGATTAATTATAAGGCTAATGGGCCCCCCAGGCAGGGCAGTTGTGTCCTAGAGGAAAGTGGCCATGTCCCCCACCCCCACTGGCCAAGGCCCAACTTTCTTGGCTTCCAAGCTGGGCAAGACACCAGAACTTCCATCCCTTCCCTATGTCTGTCCTGCTTAGAGATTCTGGGAGCTCCTGCCAGATAGATGCAGGCTGTGCTGGGACAAGAACAGATTCTACAGACCCACTCCTGTGGACACGCACACACACACACACACACACACCACCACCCAACAAGTACCCTGGCACTACCTTCTTAGGGCAGCCTCCTCATATCCATCTGAATACAGAGAAAGCAGCAAGTCCTGGGCAGCTTTCTGAATTTCAGTCCTGGCAAGGAAAGGATGCCCGTGGCCCTTTCTGGAGTTTCCTGCCACTCTGAGAGGGAGGCACTGGGTGGCAGTGCTATGTGACCGTGGCCACGTCCTGCTCCATCTCTGGCCATCTGTTTCTTCTTCTGGGAAACAGGGATTCTTTGTTAACTCTCCAGAGACCAGGTCTTTTGCCTGTAGCATTTGGTGGTGCCATCATTTTTAATCATTTTGTCTTTCTCTGCAATGTCACCTTCATCACCACCACTGTCACCCTCATTAAGCACACACCAGTTTCTTCACAAGCATTTAATCATCACACCTCTCCAAGGCAGGTGGTATTGTCCCCATTTTCCAAGTGAGGAAATTGAGGTTCAGAGTGGTTGAGTAACTACCCCAGGGACACACAGCTAGTGAGTGATGCCACACTTGTTACCTCTCTGCATCATTTGTGCTCATTGATTGGTGATTAGGGATCTGAGTGGAGGATTTGTTCTAAAGTGACCCTGGCACCCATGGCTAGGGCAGGGGTTCAGGGGAAATGCAACAGGTTTAATTATGTAGATACACCATTTAACTTAGAGTTTCTATTAAACGATGCTGCAAGATGTAACGTTTGTTAGTCAGTTAATATAAATTTGTGGCTTATTGCTATAAAACAATGTGCATTCAGAGCTTGAGTTTCACTGGGTTGCATCCTTTATTCCCCGGGAACTCCGAGGAGGCAAGATAGGCTGCAGGCAGCTAAGGGTTGGACAGACTACTGGGTGACTCCACTCATCTTCCTTACCCTCAGGTGCGTCTAAAAGCTCTAGCTCAGACCAAGAGGGGGCCATGTCCGAAACAGGCATCACTGTTCCGAACTGGCTTCCTTGCTACTGTTCAGGTTGTTTTGTTGCTGGGAGGGTCCCCCATCTGAGATGACAAATGTGACAGATACTCTTGGAAGTACTTGGTCTATTAGTCACAGCAAGAGAATCTGCCACCCAAAGCCTTTATTTCATTGGAAACTTGTTTACTGTCCGGCGAGCTGGCTGCTCTGACGAGGAGCCACAAGTACAATACCCCCATTGTGTCCTTCAGGACCTCAAAATTGCAGTTCTTACACAAACTCAGTTCTTGCTGTGAGAAAGGTTTTCTCTATGCTTCTTCCCCTCCGAGAGAGATTGAATGCTTTCCTTGTGTAAGGCTCAATCAAGCCGTGGAGGCAATAACGGGAGATGCAGGAGGATTAGGCTCCCTCAGGCAATCTTTTCCCTTGGGGGATCATACTTGGGCTTGTTCTTTGGGTTTAACACAGACGCTTACAGCTGACCTATAGGGAGACGGACACTGGGCACAGCCAGCCAGCATCTGGCCACAGGGAACCCTCACTCACTTTGCAAGGCAGTGTCCGATGTTTATGAGGCACTCCCTGAGTGCCAGGCACCAGGCAGAGTGCTGAGTCTATGATCTCACTCAATCCCCAAAGCAGCATAACGAAGGACGCTTCATATGAGAACATGGAGGGAAGGAGAGGTTGTGACTCACCCAAGGGCACCCATTAGTGAGTGGCGGAGCCGGGTCTCACACAGGCATTCGGTTCCAGAGCCCAAGTTTGCAGGGCACCTGGCATGTGCTCATCGCCACCACTGACACTGAACATGAGATGCAGGGCACGTGTGCAGGCTGAAGGAGCGTCGATGATAGTGCAGGGGATTGGGGCCTGGACTGGGCAGTGTTCAACTAAATCACTAAATTTATACACATCACATTTATGGTAAGCAGTTGACTGCAGAGCACCCTAGAATCACTCTTGAAGTTCTAACCATTGCTTTCCAAACAAAAGAAAGGACGGGCGTGTCTGTTTGTTGTGTGTTTTCGGGCTTGTGACTCATCTGGAGCATCTGTTCCTCATAAGAGCACTTTTCCAAACAGGATTTGTGAAGAGGTGACCCAAATTTCCAGACAATGTTGGATGCAAACTGATTTGCCAGCAATTGCATCACTGTCAAAACCAGCTCTGCCCGTGTCTTCCGAAGATACCAAGTGAAATACGTATAGATGTGATTTACATCTGAGAAACCAAGGCAAGAGGCCCTGGGAAGGGCCGGAGGTGGAACAGGACTGGACGGGAGCTGATAAATGGTTGTTTCTGAGTACTGGGCAGATAGGGATTCGTTATCTTATTTTCTTTACTTTCATATATTTCATTTTTTCTGTAACAAAAGCAAATTAAAATCACCTGTCTTGATCTCACAGGGGCCAATGTGGGTTGTGGAGTGAAGCGGAAGCTCTGCAGAGTTCCTTGGTCAAAAGGATGAATTACAAAAGAACCCCACGAACACCAAGAAGAGGAGGGAATCCTGGGCATTTAAAGCCACAAAGAAACTTGATATGGTCCTGTCTCCTTCTCTCAACTGACAGTGAGACACTGAAGACCAGAGAGGGTGAGTGGCTTACCCAGTTTTGCAGTCAGGTTGGTAGGTTAGTGGTAGCACCAGGACTAGATTTCAGAACTGACATAGACTGCTGGTCCTTTTTTTTTTTTTTTTTTTTGAGATGGAGTCTCGCTCTGTCACCCAGGCTAGAGTGCAGTGGCGCGATCTCGGCTCACTGCAAGCTCTGCCTCCTGGGTTCACGCCATTCTCCTGCCTCAGCCTCCCCAGCAGCTGGAACCATAGACGCCCACCACCACGCCCGGCTAATTTTTTGTATTTTTCAGTAGAGACGGGGTTTCACCATGTTAGCTAGGATGGTCTCGATCTCCTGACCTCATGATCTGCCCCCCCTCGGCCTCCCAAAGTGCTGGGATTACAGGCGTGAGCCACTGTGCCCAGCCGAGCCACTGCTGGCCCTTTTTAAAACCGTATCATGCAGCAGAAAAAACTAATTTAGTGTTTGCTGTTTGTCTTGCTCCATTTGGGCTGCTCTGATGAAGTGCCATTGACTCAGTGGCTTGTAAACAGCAGACGATTGTTTTCTTACAGTTTTGGAGGCTGGAAGTCCAGGATCAGGGTGTCGGCGCTGCTGAGTCCTCTTCCTGGCTGTAGGTTTCCATCTTCTTGTTGTGTCCTCACATGGCAACAAGAGCTCTCCAGGGTCCTTTTTATAAGGGCACTCACCCTATCATAGGACTATCATAGGACCTATCATAGGACTCCACCCTCATGAGCAAATCACCTCCCAAGATCCCACCTCCTCATCCCATCACTTTGGGGGTTAGGATTTCAAGCTAACCTAATTCCTATTTCACAATGGGAATTGTGAGGGGCACCAATGTTCAGTCCATAGCACTGTGAAATCATCTAAGACAGGCAGCCAAATGAGTCTCCTGCAACGTATCTGGAAAAAAAGGTGAGCAACACAGCAAACTCCCTGTACATTCCAAATATCCAATATCTGGTTTGTGTCCAGAGCTTCTAGGTCGTGAGCTGGAGTTTTTCATTTTCTCAGGATGTTTAGGGATTTGCTGACGTATCTGTAGATGCAGTGACTGTACACAGAAGTCACACCTCTTCATCTTTTCGGACTCCTAAGATTGTGGCAGGTGACATGACTAACACACCACTTGAGGTGTTTTGAGTAGATGGGATTTGATACAGGGCTTGAGGTGCTTCCAGGATCACTGGAGAGGCTGTGTTCCACACTGGGCCTCCGGAAATGACTCTGGGAGCAAAGTAGGATTGGCACCAAAGAGCTGTAAACCGGAGGTGAGAGGCAGAAGGTTACCACTGGCACGGGTGGACTCAAGAATGCAAACAAACGGGGCACAGTGGTTTATGCCTGTAATCCCAGCACTTTGTGAGGCCAAGCCCAGGAGTTCAAGACCTGCCTGGGTAACATAGGGAGCTCCATCTCTACAAAAAAAAAAAAAAAATTTATATATATATATATGAAAACTAGCCAGGTGTGGTGGTGTGTGCCTGTAGTCCCAGCTACTTGAGAGGCTGAGGTGGGAGGATCGCTTGAGCCCAGGAGATTGAGGCTGCAGTGAGCCATGATCACACTGCTGCACTCCAGCCTGGGAAACAGAACAAGACTTTGTCTTAAATAATAATAATAATAAATAAAATAAGATGAAAAATAACACAAACAACTCTGGTTGCAATCCAGGGTCAGGAAGGCTCTGCCCACTTGCCCCTTGGCACCCCAAGGTGGATGCCTGGATGCTGGAATGCCACCACAGAAAACCTCGAGTTTCTATGCTGTGGCACCAGCAGGACGCATCAGGAGCTGGTCTCTGCCCCAGGTCTCTTGTGACTGCATCTCATTGGTTGAATCTCATTCACCTCCAGCACCTTGGCTGCAAGGGAGCCTGGGAAACGTTTTGTTTTGTTTTGTTTCACTTTCCAGACTAGGAAGATACATCCAAAAAGGAAGTGATTGCGCCACTGCACCCCAGCCTGGGCAAGAAATTCGCTGGCAGTGTCAGTCGCTGTCTCCCTGCACTTCATCCGTCTGATATCCCAGTACCTAGTGCAGTACTAGGCACACACTGTACTTCAAAAGGAAGCATTAGTCTGCATTAATTATCACCAGTGCATTCGTCTGTGTATTGTCTGTTCATTCAACAAATATCTAGTAAGAACCAGGCATTGAACTCGTGGTTAACGAGGAGCTTCCATTCTGGTTGGAAGAGGCAGACGGTAAGCAACATGAATGGGCAAGTCCACGGAAAGATGGTTTCAAATGGAGCTAAGTGCAATGAAGACGGTAAACCAGGTAAGGAGATAGAGAATGACGGCAGGAGGGACACACCTGACCTGGTGCCATTGGAGCCAAGGCTTGCATCGTAAAGAGTCAGACAGGAAACAATCCAGAAGAAGAGTGTTCTAGACAGAAAGCATAGCACATGCAAAGGCCCTGAGGTCACAGCAATGTGATGTCTTTCAGGATCTGGGAGGAGGCCAGTGTAGCTGGGACTGGGGAAGTAGAAATCTGAGAAAGCAGAGAGGATGGAAAGCGAGGGTGGAAAGAGTAGGCAGAGGCTGTGGTGATCTTGCCAGCCTAGTGAGCCGGGAAAAGCATGCATTCTATTCTAAATGGGATGGTTAAGCATTGAAGGTTTTTAATGAGAATGACATGCTCTGTTGGTGGTTTAGACCATGTCTGCAAACTCTCTGATGCTTCTTCTCTGGAAGATGAGGTCTAGGACTCCTCCCTGGAGTTGAGCAGGCCTATGAGATCGTTTGGATGGCTTGACTGGCAGAAATGACTCTGTGTGACTGTCAAGGTTAGGTGAGTAGAGAAGCTTCTGCCTGGGCGCTGTCTCAGGATGCACCCTTTAGGAGCTGCATTGTAAGGAGTCCTTGTAAGGAGTCCAGCTACCCTGGACTCCTTGTAGAGAGGCCACAGAAAGTCATTCAGAGGCTCAACTGGGCTGAAGGTGCAAGGTTTCTTGCTCATGTGGCCATCAGTGGTGCTTGCTGCTATTGGGAGCTCCACTGGACTTTTGACCAGAGCTCCTCAGCTCACCTCTGTGTATCCTTGCCATGAGGCTAAGGCTTCTAACAACACAGAGGCTGGATTCCAAGAGGAGGGAAGTAGAAGCTTTCAGCCTTCTTAAGACCAGGATTCAGATGTCCCAGACTGTCACTGTATTGACTGGAGCATTTACAGGCCAGCCCAGTAATTTTTCCATCTCTGGGCAAGAACAGGTAGCATATGCCGAGGGTAGGGGTAGCATTGTTGGGGACCATCTTTGGAGCAGTGTGCCAACGAGTAAATTGCTGGGCTGCTTTCTACCTGGGGAAGTTCACTGTGCTTGCTTGTGGAGAGTGGATTGTGTGCTCAGAGTCCACCAGGATTTAAGAATCAGCTCCCAGCCCTGCTCCCCTTGCCTCAGCCCGTGCATTAGGGCCCTGTGGTGAGAGCACTGAGCCATTGTGAATCAAGGCCTCTCCCTCAACCTGCATACTGACAGGCGAGAGGAGCTTTCTTGATTTTGGTCCTAGGCTTCTGCCTGTGGGTTGGATTCCAGGGGCACTCCATCCTCCATAAACCAGTGACAGGTGCAGCCCCTCCATGGAAGCTGTGCACACTTCACCCTAAAGACAGATCCTGCTGTTCAGCAGCAATGTGAGTGGCCCACACATTTGCCCAGCATGAAACCGTTTTCAAATTCCTTTCCAATACACAGTCCCATCAGCCAGTCACATCACGATGACAGCTCCTCGAAACACCTTTTGGTTTGCAGTTGCGTAGCTTAGAAGTAGGAGCCTGCACAACTTCAGGACTTCACAGAAAGAACACACTTTGTGCTTCGAGAAGTTAATTATGGGAATATCTTGCAAGCTGCTGCTCTGAGCCTGTGCACCTGGGGTGTTTCCCCGGAGGTCCTGTGTATGCGGACACTCATCAGCATGGGGTTTGGGGAAGCCTAGCACTGGAGGCAACCTAGGTGGTGCTCTCCAGGGGAGTGGGTAAGAGCCCCGCAGTGTATGCATATGAGGGGGTCCTAGGCAGCAGTAAAAAGCATTGAAGGGAAAGCATGCTCAGCAGTGCTCTGAATCTGATCAGAGCAACCTGAACACATTTTAAACACAGGGCATCTAGAACTAGGGTAGAGGCACTAGAGCACCATAGACACAAACTCAGATTCTGAAGGTAAATGTCCAAGTTCCAATCCAAGCCCCCTCGCTGACTGACCACGACTCCCCCAAGTTACCTGACCTCTGTGTTTACATCCTTAAAGTTAAGTAGTCAGGAAAGGGGGCTTGGGGCTTGCCACATGAATGATTGCCACTCTCCTTTGCAAAGTGTAGTCCCCAAAAACAGGTGGAAGAGGGAAGGGTCCAATCAGAAGGCCGAGTACCAGCTGCCGTGAATATGCCAGAGCCGCTGGCTAGTAATATATAACTCACATCCGGTGGGACAGCAGAGCTAGGGTGACCTTACATTCTAGGAAAGAAAAGATGCCTGTTGTCCTGGCTTTTTATCCAGCTTAAACAAAGATGGGCAAAGAAGATAATTTAGAAAATAGTAGAGATGAGCACAGAGAAAGGGCACAGATGGAAGCACAAACAGAAGGCCAAGTGATGGTGGAGGCAGACACTGGAGAAATGCCTTTGCAAGTCAGGGAATGCCAAGGATGCTGGTGACCCCGGGAGCGGGATGAACCTGGAACACGCTCTCCCTCAGAGTCTCCAGAAGGAACCGTCCCTGCATCACCTTTTGGACTTCTGGCCTCCAGAACTACACAAGAAAACGTTTCTGCTATTGGAGGCCATCCAGCTAGTGGTCATTTGTTATGGTCACCACAGAAAAAAATATAGATTTAGGCATCTAATTTGCATATATAGATGTGCATGTGTATTTGTTAAATAAAACATAAGGCATAATAACTCCATGGACAACAATACAACTCATTAAATTGTGTTGGTTAAAAAAATGATAGATATCACCCACACATTTTTATGTGCTGGTAAAGAGAAAAATCCAAGACTACATAGGGTTCCTCTTATTTTAATTATTTTATTCTTTTAAACAACAAACAATGTGGCTAAAGCAAACAGAAATTATTTTTTCATGAAACAAACAGAAAGGGTTCAATGCACTTAAATGATCAAAATGATCAACCATTCCCACCAGCATGGAAACAGGGCTGGGGTTGCAGACAGTGATGTGTGTGGTGTGCATCTGTGGGGTTTGGGGTTTTGCTTATTTTGAGGGATGGGAGTAGAAGCCTTTCCGAGAAATGCACACCCAGGAGCGAGTTCCTGGGCCACAGAGCTGGCTCGCTGCTGACTGACTGGTTCATGGTGCAATCTGGGTTTGGGGGCAGCTTTGCTGCAGGCAGGAGCCTCAACCCTTCGGAATAGGATTCCACTCCTGAGACCTCATCTGTTCCTGAGTCTCAGGACACACCAGCCGGAAACTGCAACCCTTCTGTGTCAAGCAAACAGCACTCATGCCTTTGCAATTCCCCAGTGCTCCCAGCCCACCTGCAGCATTTGGGAACCCTGTTCCCAGTTTTCTCTGTGTGCTTATCTACTTGGATGCCAGACTATTATCATCATCCTCATTCTACAGGGGAAACTGAGGCACAGAGAGGTTAAAGTCAATTTCCCACTGTAGGGACAACAGGACTAGAACCCCAGAGCTCCACCATCCAACTGAAGGAGGAAGGGGGCTTAGCTGCGTGGAAAGGGGATGCCCCACGGAACACACCCTTGGCTTCACCTTCACCTGTACTTGGCCGCCTCTGTTTCCCCTTTCTATCTTCCTGGGCCTCAGTTCAAGGGCCACCTCCTCAGAGGGGCTGTCCCCACACCAGAGCACCCTCCCCCCACTCCTCCCCATTTTGCTCTCTGTGTGGTGCCTTACTTGTCACTGTCTGAAGTTATCCTGCTTTTGTCAGGGTCCCAGGGGCAGGGAATATTCTCTCTTGTTCCTGGAGGTCATTGTCTCCCCAGCACTTAGTGGAGTGCTGGCTCCCAGGTCCTGGGTCTGCATTCTCGTGGGCTTGGGCCCTGACCTCAGCCTCTGACATTTACATCCATGTCTGGAGTGCCAGGCACATCATATTTTACCCTCGATGGGAACAAGACAGTTGCCCCATTTTGATGTAAGAAGAGGCCAAGTCCCTTGGCCCAGGTCACAGCAACAGGTGAATTGAGAGCCTGGCACCCCTGACTCCTGAGTCCCAGGCTGCAGCCTGGCCTGAGGGCTGGGAAGACTTAAGGAAATTCCAAAGGAACAGTTGCTCTTTCTGTTAGAAGTCAATAGCCATGAGACCAGGATGCTGGATGCCCAGGGTCTGGCCATCTGTAGGTTTAGACAGAGATTCCAGAAACGAGGTGACAGGCATGAAGTCACCCCACAAAGGCCAGGCCATCCAAGTAGGACACCCCATGAGAAGGAAGTGGGTTCTGTGCCCACCTTAGCCTGTAAAAACAGGACAGCAGGGCAGAGGAATGAAGAGTCCCCATCCAAGGGCTCTGCGGGGCTTCCACACCATCCCTGAGCCATCCCCCTTGGGCCTCTGGTGAGCATGTGTGCGTGGGACACTAGGACCCTATTTTTTTAAGCCACTGTGGTCAAGTCTCTCCTACAGCAGCTGTATGTGCTTGGTAACTAAAAGGTGCTTGAATGTCTGACTCCTTTTGCATTTCCTTGAGAGGCAGCAGTTCACCCCAGGAAGGATTAGGATGTTATGGTTGGAATGCAGAGAGAAAGCTTTTGATTTCCAAAACAGGCTATTTGAGTCTGTGTCATCCCAATAGCCCCACAGTCCTGCATTCTGACCACCTGCCCTTTCCATAGCAGGAGTCAAGTCCTCTGAAACAGATTGTGGAGTTTCACAGAACCCACAAGCAGAGGAATCCCTGCCTGCACCTGCAATGGGAATCCTTCAGAAGGGAAGGCTGAGAGAAGCGAGGTGAGGCTGGGGTGGGTATGGCTGGGTGGGGTGAGGCTGGGTGGGGTGAGGCTGGGTGGGGTGAGTTCTTAGGGTTGAACCTCATGGGGTAGATGCAGTCTGAGAACTCAGGGAGTCTGAGGACTCTGCGACCTCCAAGCAACTACCCTGAACTACTCATCCATGATTTTTAGATAGAGCCGCACTCTCCCCTGCAAGGAGACAAAAATTTCCGAGATGGCAGAGAAAAATAGTCACCCTTATGTGGGAGTGCCCTGGGGCTGCCAAAGAAAATTACCACCACAAACTTGGTGACTTAAAACAACAGAAAGTTATTTTCTCCTAATCCTGGGGGCCAGAACCTCAAATCAAGCTGTCAGCAGGCCTCTGTTTTCCCCAGAGGCTCCAGGGACGGCTACTTCCTGCCTCTTCCAGCTCCTGGTGGCTCCAGGCACTCCTGGGCTTGGGCAGCTTCACTCCAATCTCTGTCTCTGTGTCTTCTTCTTCTGTCTCTTATAAGGGCACTGTCATAGGACTCAGGAACCTCTCCAAACAGGATGATCTCATGTCGAAATGCCCAACTGATAATATCTACAAAGACCCCTTTTGCAAAGAAGACCTCACTCACAGGCTCAGGGGTTAGGATGCGACCATCTCTTCTTAGTGAAGAGTTGTGAGGGCTACCATTCAGCCCACTATACCCAGCAGTAGCCGTTCCATGCCCTGCAGCTGCAGTGAGATGACAGAAGTTGTAGGAAATTCTTCCATTTTCTTTTCCTGGAAAGCAAAACTAGTGCAGGAAGAAGGGAGGGGAGAGTAGGAGATGTGTCTGGAGTATGGGCTTGGCTGCTGCAGTGCAGATCCTGAATAGCACAGGTCTGAATGAGAAGGAAATTAAGTCTTGCTTGTTCACAGCTCTCCAGGTGTGCAGTGTGCAGGGCTGAGTGGCAGTCCCTGTGCCAGGGATCCAGAATCTCTTGCTGGTTCCTCTGCCAACCATAGGTTGCTGTACCCATCTGCATGGCTCACCTCCAAGTCCTCTTTCTGGCCAAGGGGAGGGATGTCCATGACTAATGGTGAGGTTGTTGCACATTGGCATGGCTGAGAGCCTTCTGGTGCCATGTATTCTAACTGCCTATATTCTATCGGTTGTTCGATGTTTGGGCTGCCACCCCTGGTATATCCCTCCCATTGAAGGCATGACCCAGAAGTTATACCTATCACGTCCTCTTCCACTCACACCCTATTGGCCAGTATTTGGTCATATGACCACAGCTAGCTGCAAGGGAGTCTGGGAAATGTATTCTTTATTGGAGATGGCCATCTGCCTGGCAGAAAATTCTCATAATGGATACTGGGGAAATAGATAACTGGGTGATAGCTAACATTCTCTGCAAAGGAGGGGTCTGGCTTTCTGGGACCAGGCTCAGCATCTCTGGCTCTTCCAATGACTGGGAGATTGCTGGAGAAAGGCTGATGGGTCTTTGCCTGGAAAAGCCCTAGATCTTATGGTAGCCTGGATCCTTGAGGATAGCAGTTATGGGACATCGCTGGCTTCACTTTGCTTGTTTTTACACCAGCTGATGCCCACTGCCCCAGCATGACAAGGGTTCATCTTTCTGTCCTTTGAGATGATAGCCCACTCTCTGCCCAAATAGGTGAAGAAAACTGCATTGATTTTACACTTTGGTGCTAGGTACTGTAGCAAGCATTTCTCCATGCATTACTGCTGTTTGAGAAGCTGCAGGAGCTGTCTGGCAAACTGCCATCTGCAAAATAGGATGTAAACAATCCCCCAGAGTAGCCTGCTCAAGGCCTTTGGGGACCTGGGGATAGCCCCTAGCATGAGTTGGCTGTGGGGTGCTATGTTGCCCAGCAGGCTGTGTGAGGTTACTAGCCATAGGAAGGCAAAACCACCTCCTTTCCTTGGTGATATCCTACTTGCATTGTGTGTTTCAAAGCCTCCTGCCAGACCCCAAACCAAGCACTCACCCCGTCCTGTTCTCGTTGTGGCTCAATGATAACAGAGAGTGGACCTGCTCTAGTCCACTCATTCATTCACTTTTTCAACAGTCATTCATTTATTCAGCAAATAAGAGTACGTTCTAAAGGCCAGACCATGTGTTAAATGCGCCAGGCATCATCTCTGCAGCTAAGCAGTGTGTGATATTATGGATAGACAGGCACAGACATGATTATATCATGCTAAACTATTATGCTAAAAGTAATGTGAATTGGCCAATAAGGATATGGAAATAGGTCCAGCCTCACTAAAACTGTTCAGGAAATGTGAATACTAATCCCCTAGATACCTACTTCTGGGTATATATCTAGAGGAACTGAAAATGGGGCTGAGCTTGGTGGCTTGCACCTGTAGTCTACCTACTGAGGAGGTGGAGGAGGGAGTATCTTTTGAGGCCAGGAGTTCACTACTGTAGTGAACTTTGATCACACGACTTCATTCCAGCCTGGGCGATAGAGCTAACCCATCACTTAAAAAAACAAGAAATGAAAAAACAGAAACTGGATCTTGAAGATATATTTGCACACTTACATTCACAGCAGCACCGTTCCCAACAGCCAAGGGGTGGAGGCAACCCACGCATCCATTGACAGATCAATGGAGAAACCAAATGAAGTAACATTTTTCACCCACTGGATTAATTCTATTATTGGTGGGAGTATCAGTGGCTGAACTCTTTGGTTAAGTAATTTCGGAATAACCTTAAAATTTTAAATGCATGAATCCTGTGATACAGCAGTGTCTCATTTGCAAGTTTTGAGAAACGAAAGGAGGTGACAGGTTGGCTTAAGTGCAACAGTGGAACCGCTTAGCACTCTGCCCAGCAACCAGCTAGCACTCAAGAGGTGGCATAGAACCTTATCATTCCACCAGTGCAGAGAAGACCTCCCTCCCCTCACACCTCCCAACCAGCTTAGTCATAGGAGCAGTGTTAGCAATCAGGGTTTCCAGAGAAACAGAACACACACACACACACTCACATGCACACACACAAACAGAATATCCCCTG